TNTNNTNATCTACTCAAACAAAAAAAAAAAAATATTTTCATAGTTCAAATTAACCCCACACATTTTCAAAATAAAAAATAAAAAATCATTTCGACAAATGATTCGAACTTGATGCCAGTATTATACTACCCCACGTAATCTCAAAGCATCGATAAGGATTGTGATAATGCTTCTCAAAAACCTATCATCGATAAGGATTGTGATAATGCTTCTCAAAAACCTATCGAGACCACAAGAAAATAATGTGATAAACTGATAAAAATGGTCTTTACCTGTGGGATTACTCCAAATTCAAGCAAGAGGGGGCCAAGAACAAAACCGCCACCCGAACCCAACAAGCCACCAACTGTACCTCCTATGATGCCACAAAGGGCACAAAAGGCGAGATTTGTGCCCGTCCAATCAATTGCCGCCTCACAAATTTGTTCAGGATTCCCATCGATCCTCCTTTTCTTGTTTTCCTTGTAAAGCTTAACACATTCGTACAAGAACACTCCAAAAGCAACCGGAAGCTGATATAGCATGAAAAAAAAAAAAAAAAAAACAACACATTAAAGAGGTCCACTTGGTTAAAATACTTCGAGAACGTAAAAGGAATGTATTGTTGTATCCTAAGAAAGAATAATGTACCTGTAACAAGGTAAGAATCCAGTACCATGTACTACAAGCTCTCATGTCATTCTGCAAGTCCAAGTTTATACCACAGTATTATTAACATAGTTTTAAGGGTAGGCTTAATAAAAGGTAAAAATAATCTGTTCCACGATTCTAGAAAGGTAAGTGGAGTTATTTAAACTCGCCTTCATCACTTGAAGAAGCAAAAAGCAAACCCACACTAATAGCAGCATTAACATTCTCTTGATGTTGAGGTTCCCCCTCATAATTTGCTGAAATGTAGAGAGCAATGAGAATAGTAATTAAACTCAGGAAAACGAACTCGATGTGGGGATGTAATAATATATCCAAACATAATCTCACCCATGGTGTTTTCTCCTCTCTTGGAACCAAAAGCTCATAATCAGCATCAATCAGCACTGATAAGGCAATGAGATAAATGCAAAGGTCATTCTTGTAAGCTGTAAATGTAAGAAGTAAAAGACTTGCAATATTTACTCTAATTTACTTACACTCTCCGCGAGAATTAACGAATGTTTTCTTGTCTTCTATTGATTTCTGCAATCACCCAACACATGATTGGAAAAAAACAAAAATTAAAAAAAAAATAACAATAATTTAATTAATTAATGAAAAATGAATAATATAAGAGTTAGGTACAACATGATGTTTTTCAGCCATTTTGTATTTTAGGTCCAAATACCACCAATCTATTTCTCACAATTTCTTTATCAAGTCAATAATTCAAGCTATGTGGGCTCCCATTGGTACAAAAATTTTGTCCTTAGTCTATACTTGAATTAACAAATTTACAGAAGTACATGTGCCTGATAAGCATCTAATTAGACAACTCACTTTCAACATAGTTTCCTCCTTCCACATCTCAATCGCCTTGGCAAACGACCTTGAAGAAGTGCCTATTGACAAAGGGGGAAAGTAAATAAACATAAGGGTAATAAATAAAAAAAAAAAAGATTAAAAGCCAGAAAAGGCCAACACTTTTACTGCATAAAGATTGAATCTTGATACCACTTTGACATTTAAGTTAGTCAATTTATTCTTGTTAAACACATCATACAACAATAATTGGACCACTAACCCATCATTCACAAACAGAATTAAAAAAGAAACCAAAAAAAAAAAACACTTATCCCTACATAGATTATTACTAATCACATACACGTCGTTGTCGTTTTCGATCAATCGTAACCTCATGAAACACCTACCGATTAAAATCTACGCGCGTCACGACTAACACAAATCGACTTACCCAAGAACAAAATGATGATTAAGACAGTAATCAGCCAATAGGGGAAGACGACACTAAGAGAAACTCCGAGCGTAATTCCCAGCATAAGCATCGGCTGAAACAAAAGCGCCAAGTCATAATCGAGAATTGGCTTGTCCCTGCATGGATGGGGCACCCTCAAGTTGTACCACACAGAGGATGCAGAGGCCCCCATTATCATGCCTGCACAGATTATTCATATCCATTTACTGAACATTTATAGTTGTTTTAAGTTCACAAATCAAAGGAAAAACAACTTTAAGTGCTTACACTTGGAAATAGCAGCAGCAGACTTGGTATCAAATCCCACAATCAGAGTCAACATTGGAACAAAAATGCCACCGCCGCCAACCCCTCCAACCGTTCCGCAAGCCGACCCCAAAAATCCTATGACCGTTGCCAGAACAATTCTCCAACTAAATTCCAATTCCTGCCCAGGAAAAATAGGCGAAAGCCCAAAAGCTTATAACCCAAAAACACGAAAAAAAGCACAGATTTTTTTTTCCTCGTGCGAACATCATAAACATACTTCCGAACATAGAAAAAGGAGAAATTTTTCTTTCAAATGAGACGAACTTACGGGCCAGGACTTCGATTCAGACCCGTACTTGTTCTCCGGAGCTTTCGAATCGGACGAGGACAGAAGGAACGGTTTCTCGTAACCGCCGTTTGCGCGATTGTTGACGAAATGAACAGAAAGGAGGGCCAAGGAGAAGCCCGTCAGCAGATAAACGACCAGCCCTTTTACCGCCATGGCCGCCGCAAAGCAAAGAAAGTTTATCTAGCACAAAAGAAGATTTCGAACGCCAATGATTCTTTTTGTTTCCTCTGTGTGGCGAATTAAATAGAACAGTTCTATTTGGCCTATGAGAGCGAACTTTTATAGAAATTGAATTGAATAGGGATTTCAAATTTTGAGAGAGGATTGGTGCACGTGAGATGGGTGGGCACGGCACGTGCTCCGGGACGGAGAACGCCAGCGCACATTGCCGAGCCTGGGATGGTCGAGCTGCACCACGTGGCGCAACCTGATTGTTCTAAATTGATAATATCAACATATTTTGAGGGATAACTAGTACGTAACCTGTGCGATTGCACGGGATGTAAAATTTGGAAGAACAATATAATCTCACGTGCATTAGGATCGAAATTAAAATCATTAAAATACATAGGAAGATTGTTGAATCATAAAAAGTTCGGTAACAATCATAAATTATTAAAAACCTCCTTGTACACAACATTATGAGTTTGATTATTTGGTAACTCCTCATTATCACAAACTAATATTTTCAACTCTCTTCTATTATTTACACGCGAATCAGCAGCATATAATTGGTCGTGACTAAAAACGGATTTCTTCAGGAAAAGACCAACGTGCGATAAAAAAAGAGTTTTTAAAAATTGAAAAGTCAAGGCAATCAGTTCAGATTAATTAAAGATCAAAGAATATCCGCTCCTTGAAATAAAGACGTGGGCTATCATTAACCAAATATCCGGTTATTGATAAAGAGTGGTTACCAAAAAATAGAACGCGATAAGGACGCTTCATGGAAATATGAATGAGATAAGGTCATAACAGATGGCTATACATTTTAACGATAAAAGCTCATATGGAATGATTTAATTAGATGTGTGAAAAGGACATAATTAATGAGAAGTGTGAAAAGGACAAAAACTTACCGGTTTTAAAAAATATTTAATGCAAATCCGACATTTACCATAATTTGACCTACTATTTTGGATAAATGTTAATTCTTATTATATAAGCATAGATTGGTATATTATATTGTCATTTAGTGAAATTCATTTATCTTTTTTGAAGAAAAAAAGAATACAGGAATGGGATGAGAATAAAAGTAGATAAAGTAAATACAGAGATTCTTTCAACTCTGGGTTTTGATTCCATACTCCAACATAATTGGTATATTATATTGTCATTGTACTTGATTGATATCATAGATTTTCAAAACGATTGTTCCCAAATATATTTCAGTCGAACTCGTAAAAATTTGAGATTGTCTTGGTCGTTTACATAAAGTGTATTTGATAAGTATCAGTCGAACTGGTATCATATGGGCGCCGTAGAATTTCTGTAGTTTATAGTTTGTTTGATTAACTTATAAACTTCTTGTGCGCAAAATAAATTAAGTTTGATAGGATGAGTTTTTTTTTTTAAAAAAATCGAGCTTATTTTATAGGTTTTTTATTTCACAATTAGAATTTCAATGTTTTTCACTTTTTGCTAGGCAATTATTATAGTTTTTATAAAACACCAATGAGTGTTGTATTAGTTGATAATATAATAAATGAAATGATTGATTAGTTATCCAATATTCCAAATTGGTGATCTCTTTAGCGGATAAATATTGAACTGTCATAGTGTCCCAATTGGCTATGTCCCCATACGATGCCATGAGACAAAAAAGGAAGCGAAATAGAAACCTTTCTACTTCTTTTCGTGGTATAAATATGTAATTGTATTTCCACTTTTACTTATTTGTAAATTAATTAAATTTTGTCACCACAGCCAGCACATGTTCGTGGAATCTAGATTTAAGTGACATTTTATTGAATATTTCACTAACCAAGATTTAATATTTATTGGGTATTATTCAGGAAATAATTTACTATTTTTGACAGAAATTATGTCTCCGGGAAAAATTCAAAATTAGTCCCACAGATATAGGGGTGACAATTTTGGTCCCAACGCAATGCACAAAATATAAATAGTTCCACAGCTTTTAAAAAATGATTAAAAGTAGGACTTTTTCGCCGGATTTACTATTTCCGGCCCGGAACGCCACGTGGCGCACACATGGTGCACACGTGGCTTATTTTTTACATGCTGGCATCCGACGTAGTTAGGAAAAAATTCAAAACTAGTCCCACAAGTATAGAGGAGTGACATTTTTGGTCCCGATGGAATGCAGAAAATTCAAAACTAGTCCTACAACTTGTAAAAAAATATGAACACGTCGGATGTCACGTGGCGTTCCTGGCCGGAAATAGTAAATCCAGCGAAAAAGTCCTACTTTTGATCATTTTTTAAAAGCTGTGGGACTATTCATATTTTCTGCATTCCGTCGGGACCAAAATTGTCACCCCCTAATACCTGTGGGACTAGTTTTGAAATTTTCCCCTCCAATAGTTAATGAGTATTGTGTTATAATTTGAAATGTGAAAATTCGTAATTGGTTGTAGAAAGAGATAAATTGAACAAATTATAAATATATAATATAAGTTGTTTAGAATGTATTCTATATTAAGAAATACTTCTAAACATTTTCTATACCACATAGAATTGTTTGTGGTATGTGTCAACAAAATAAAGCAATTCAAAGATCATTGGAAATGCTCTAAAAAGAAAATGAAATATGTATGAAATCACGACTCACAAGTTGAGTGTAAATACCAAAAAGAGCAGGTTAATAATATAGTATTTGTTATACATGATTTAAAATCGTTTATTTTTTATCGTAATTAAATTTTATTTTGGACCCTAAAACATAGTCCAACGTATGTGGGTCGTAGGCCCATACGAAGACCTGCTCCGATCAACTAACGAATATTCAGTGTCGATCTGTCGAAAGACTGCCAATGCCGATTTGTCGATTTAGTGAGAAAACAAATTGGAAAAGCGACCGCTCAATCAAAAGAAGACGTCACATTCGAAATGCATAACTGGCATGTGTCCTTTTGCATACAACATTTCTAGACACGTGTCTATCACACATGCCCTTAGTTGCATAAATACATTTTCATTTCAGATTTGTATAAATACATTTGAATTGTACTCCACTAGAGACCACACTCAATTCACCATTTACGAACAAAACACTCGAATCAATGTTCGCCTATATTTTTAAAGCTCAACAACAAGTGTACGGCTTCGCTCGTAGTATGTGGCAAGCAAGGTCGTATCCCAAGAGACCAAATAATTAATATATCAAGTACCAGATTATGATAATGTCAACTTTATTTAGACGACCAAATATGAGATGGATTAACTAAACTACGGAAATATAATTAAAGAGAAATAAAGCAACAAGAAGAAACTAGCTAGAAAAACACGTGAGAAGATGTATGAGAACGATAGATTCTAAGACTTTGGTTTTCATTAATAGTTGAGTTCCTTCAGAAATATCATAACCAATGTTTTCTTTATCTTCCCTATAAGATGATCACAAATTTAGCTTATCGTCCCTCTCAAGATCGATAAAACCGTAGATTAAATCACATATATTAGCGTCTCCACTCAACACATGCAATTCAACTCCAAATAGATTAAAGGATCTAATATCATCACAACGACCTACTAATCTCTCGATTCAAGCAAGTAAATTGTGTCAAATATTAATGACCTAATATTGAACTCATCTCTCGAATTATGAACAATATTGTCAAACATGTAAAGGCATTGATCAAGTGCTAAACATGAAACAAGAACAAAATATTGAATAGGGTTCAAAAGAAAAACAATTAATTATAATAATTCATCCAAAATCCCAACATATTAATCTACTACCAAGTCCTAGAATCAAATAAACTAGCCACTCATGTTCGAATTCAAATACATAGACATATTAGAAATCGACATGATCAATAAAAGCTCAAAAGGAAAGAAGAAATAAAAACTAGGAATCTCGTCGATCTTTCAATCTTCTTGATCCCTTTGTAGTTGGATCTTCTTTTTCTTCCCAATTGCTTCTCTTGTGTGTTCTAGGGCTCCTCTCTTGTGTATTCATGTTTCTCCCTCAAAATAGGGTGAATATGCCTTTTATAATGTCAAAAACCCTTCTCCTTTTCAAAATAGGTAAGATATAAAAAACAGCCTGCGCGCGCGACACGGCCAGTCTGCCCGTGTCACCGTCCGTGTCGCAGCGCGTGTCAGGTCCCAAGTTACGAATTTTCTCTGTTGAGGTGACACGGCCTCTGACACGGCCATGATGCCCGTGTCACAAATCTGCACTCTCATTTTTTCTCGTTTCACTCATTTATTCCATTTTTTTCATCCTTGCATCAATCTTTCATCATCCCGGGGGTCTTAGATACTCATCATGCGCCTCCAAAGCCACAAGCTCTACACATATGTGAAAATATCTACAAAACAAGCACGTGTAATACCTTTCCAACAAGATATAGAATTATAGCACAATAATGCAATTTATACACCAATAATGCAATGAATAAGCTCTAGATACTCAATAAATATGGTGTAAAATCACACATGAACAATCAATAAATACTTTTTTGCCCATCCAACTTTTCTTGGAGATCTCACTTGTTGCTCACTATTACGTACTTAAGCTCATAATCGCCATAAATATACACTTGGTAATCTTTCTTATCAACAAGATCTGATTAGGAATTTTATGATTGCATTTCACCTTCCCTAAGTTTTCTATTTCTCCAACCTAGCTTATGTATAAAATATAGGAAAAAGCTACCATCCCGTCACGGAATCATTCCGTGAGAGTTTTTAGTCATTGATTATCTACAATAACTAATTTTTATGTATATCCAAAGGCTAAAACTCTCATGGAATGGTTCCGTGATGGGATGATAGTCCTTTCCTAAAATATAATGTTTGTTTAGCTTAAATAGGGAAGTAGCACGTGGATTTATAGATGTACACTGATTGTATATAATGATAATAAAGAGATTGATAATCCAAATGAGGAGAGTGTGCAAAGACTAAAGCTAATCATTAGTGTGGTGCATTTCACTACAAAATCATATAAATATATACTCGTCATGTTTGTCTATTAACGGATAGGAAATAGTGAATACCAGAGTGCATTAACGGCGAGGGATGGTTGACGTATAGGCAAACTTAGGCAGCTGCTTAGGCTGAATTTTTATTGATAACTATAACTTATTATAATTTTCATAGAATTATTTATGAAAATATGGCATACTTAAAGATCCTGCGTAGGAATATCTTCAAGAAAAGTTCCTCTCGTTAGAGTAAAAAAGTTTGCCTCTTAGGGATTGGAGTTCCATAAAATTAGAGAATTTCATTAT